TTTGCATCCACCTGAATACATGAAATAATCATAGACTGTGATCAGCTGTATGAATGAAGAGTCCAGTGCTGTAAATGCACGTGATGCAGAGGCGACTTTGAAGCTAAGACCTGCGGGAGAAGAAGGAGCTGTTCATTCTAAGGGCATGGTGGGTGGGAGATCATTGCAGGTGGAGGGAGCGGCTTCTGCCACAGCCTTGAGGTAGAAAGGGGGAGGCAAATGCAGGACTGAAAGATGGCGGCCTGGGCAGGGTGAGGAAGGGGGAGAACAGGATGGGTGGCACTGGGTTAGAGGGGCCAGCAAAGCGTGGATCTCACTGGGTACTCCAGGTCATGGTCGGGCGTTTGAACGTTTTTCTAAAGGCGATGGAAGCCACTGATGCTTTCACTGGCTTGGTTCCATGATCTGATTTGCATTTTAAAAGATAACTTGCTTGCTGTGTGGAGTGGGGAACTGGAGTGGGGCGAGGTGGGATAAGAAGGAGGCTATTCAATTAGTCTCAAGCAGGGTTCCATGAACTCCTGAACTAAGGCAAGGCAGGGAGAAAGAGTCCCAGGCTCTGGGGGTGGGGGAGGCTCTCTTGATGATTACTGTGGGAGTGAGTCTCGAGGAGAGAGGTGAGCTCCCTACTGAACTGTGAGTGTTTTGAAGACAAAAATTAAGTTTTATTTTTCTCCATGTCTGCAGGACCCAGCACAGGCCTGGCACCGAGGGCCAAAATGTCTGCTGCGTAAACAACATGGAATCTTAGTTCAGGCTTGTAGATGTACAGTTTGTTTCTGATTCTCACCACACTGTCACCAAGCACAGGGGCAAGGAGCCAATACTCCCTTGTCCCACTCCAGGCATAATTACTGTGCCTCTTCAACTCCATTCCAACTCTAGGGACATGTGGGGCATGGGGTGGGAGATGTTGATCCTGTGGTCCCCACACTTGCTGGAGTTGGGCGTGGTCTGGAGCTGTGGGGTAGCCTTGCTGGTTTCCCAGTGATGCAAGCATCTCATACGTATGCCAACGTCCCAGGGTTCTGTGTCTAAGGGTTGCTGCGTTTAGAGCAACGTTATTTTTCTACATCCAGCTTTTCATTTTTCTGACTAGCTGAGATGTTGAATGGGCTGTAACGCCAAGGAGGGTGGCTTTGTGGTGACAACAGAATAGCTACAGAGTGAGAAGGCCAGAGAACACGTCTCATCTCTGCCATTGGCTTGCTGGGTGGCCACAGATGAAATTGTTGCCTCGTCTTCGAAATGGGCGTACTCATTAACCTCAGGGCTATTGTTGATCTGAATCTGCCAGGCCAATCAGTAATGTGTCCAGTGCATGTGGACCAGCAGTGGGGCTTTGTCTTGTTTCTAGGGAAGGGCACAAAGTGGGAAGACAACAGGTACCAAGAGCCCCCTAGGTTCTGGGCCTTCTACCAACATCAGGTTCTGAGGTTCTGGCTGCAAGGATTTGTCTGAGTCTCTTCTGTCCTAAGAGAATCAGGAAGAGCCTGATGCCCACTTTTTGACCCTTCCTGGTTGGGGAGAGTGAAAGGAGTGTTGGAGTTGGTTTGGCTGGGTGCCCTACTGAGAAGCTGGGGCTGGATGTTCTATTTCAGGGAGCTTGGAATGAGAGTGGGAAAGGCCAGAAGTGTATGGAACACCAAGGGCCAACCTCTAGGGAAGCTGAACCCAAGCTCTAAGTCAATGGCGCCTGGGCTTTCGTTGCGTGGGCTACAGGGCTGGGAGCAGAGGAGGTCAGGACTGAGTAAAATGCCCAGGCCAGGGAGGTGCCTTGCAGCTGCCAGATGGAATGGGGGGGCATGGCTGTGCCAATCTGACTTCACGAGGCCTTGGGATCCCAGGCTAGAGTTCCTGGACATTGAAGCTACATCAGTTGCAGTCGGAGCAGCCTGGATGCAGCCAGATGAGACTGCACAATGTCAGGATGGGCCTGGAGCTAGTACCAGGGCTCCCAGAGCACCTTGCATGTCCCACTATTACAGCGTCTTCACAGGGTGAGGAGCTCACCCTTATCTATGTCTGTCTTCCTCAGGGGCTCATGGCCTGTGACAATCAGCTTCTAGGCTGAGGACATAAAATATGAAATTAGCATATGATAGGCTAACAAGTCCAGCTCAATATGCGTTTCCTGTGCAGCTACTATGTGCATGGTCTGACTCTGCCCTGGCCACTTAGGGTTTCCCAGCCAAGACTTGGTTTCTATCCCTTCAAAAACCGTTCTTCAGGGAGGAAGCTGTCTGCTTCGACGTTGGTAAAAATGGCATCCTGCTGAAAGCGATTCTTTATCAGATACCAGCTAGTCTAGTTAAACAGATGGCTTCGTAGAGGCCTCTCCACTCAGGCGCTCTGTCCATGCCCAGCAGATTGAGTCAAAGCTTCTCATAGGCTCAGACCTGGTCACAGAATGGCCTGGAGCTGGGCGTATCATACTGGCCTCTGTGGCTTACGCCACGGGGCACCCAAATCAAAGAGAAACATGAAGCGGCTGCTGGCACCATCAGTTTTACTTGAAGATGATGAAAGAAACAGTGATGGGTTTTTGTACATGATGTACAGCCTGAAGGAGCAGGATTTAGTTTTCCACAGGGGCCAAGCTTGGTCTAGAGTCAAATGGAACATATATTAACATATGTGATTAAAGTATGAGTCTTTAAGAAAAATTTGTGCCAGACCATTCATCAGCTACTTTTAACTCTGTTTTGTTCTCTTGGGCCAGGAGGGCTGCTCTTGTGAACACACCTGAGGGTCTCTGACTGACAGTGTTCCGGAAAAATGATTCTGAACATGGGTGCATCTCATATTAAGTAGTTTACACTCTTGTTCCTCCCGTGATCTGCTGCTGGTATGATTCCATACCTAAGCCAAGAGTTGGACGATCTGAAATCAATGTAGGGTCTCCTTTTCAGGAATTCTTAGGCATTGGATGAATTCTAGGTCTGATTCTGCCACGGATTTACTGTGTTGCTGGGTACCTCCCTTCCTTTCTTTGCCTCTCAGTTTCTTGGTCTGTAAAATGGGAAGGCTGTATCCTCGAGGTCCTGTTTAACGTTAACCTCTGGTGACCTGAATAGCTCTGTCCAGGTGGGCACAATTCAAATTCAACTATGATTCATCTAGATCCAACTAAAATGTATTGGGAGCATATTTTCATGTATACTATTTAATGTAGGGCTCTCAAAACCCCGGAAAGGTGTGTTACCATCTTCATTTTGTAGATTACCAAATGGAAACTCAGAGAAGTTCAGCAAGTTAAGAGAAGTCACACAGCTAAGAAGTCAGAGAGCTGAGATTCAGCCTCAGACCTGTCTGTCTTCACGTCCAGGGGACTGAGAACAGATCATATGAGCCCATACCAACTTGGCTTCTCCCACCCCTCCCTTCCTGCCTAGCCAGGAGCTTAGCTCTGGGATCTAGTGGATTGAGGGATGGAGGGGGTTCTGTCTGGGGCTGGGGGCTGCAAGCCCCTGGTAGGTGTGGTGGACACTGCCTGGAGAGTAGCAGGTTCTAAAAGGCGGAGAGCAAATTCACTAGCCTGGCCTGGCTCTGGCTCTGGCACAGGAGTCCCCAAGGCTCCATTTGAGCTTTAAGCTTAAGGAGCTGCCTGCTCTTTGCTCTTCTTGCCATCTGGGAGCCCCTGCCTACCACGAGTCTTGTCATCCCAGGGACCCACTCTCAAAAATTCCTGTCCACACTTCCCAGTCCTCAGAAACCATCTCCTGACCCCAACTGACTGAGGTCAGGGAAGGAAGAGGTGTGCTAGAGAGACCGAGCTCAGATCCCTGTCCTGAAAATTGGGAGGGAGACGTCAAGCGACGCTTTTATTTCAACCAATTCAATCGCCACCGGTCTGCGTCTTCATGCAGCAAAGGCTTTTGAGATATCGGTTGTCTACTCAGAACCTTGGGACGGCCTCAACTACTTGCATGACATTGGGCAAGTGATTTTCTCTCTCTGGGCCTCAGTGTCCCCATCTAAGCAATCGCCAGCCGGTTGGGCCCTATAGATGTCAGGTCCCTGCCGGTAGTGGCATTTTAGGATCCGCAGTCATGTCATCTGCTTTACCTTCCTCGAGGCAAGCGGCTGGACCAGATGCTTTTGGAAGGCGCACTCAGCTTAAAGGTGGCTCTCTTTGCAGGTGCCCCTCCTCCCTTCACACCAGAGGCTCACCCCCACCCGGCCAGAGCTCCCTGTCAGATCCAGGCCTGGCTCTTTAGCCTTGCAGCTCAGGGAACCAGAGCGCAGCGCTAGAGCCGCGACTGCCGCGGCGGCGCAGGGGGCGGGGGAGGAGAGAAGCGCCCACTTGTCCCGCGGCCTCCGCGGCAGCCCTGGCCCTAGCCCCAGCGCATCAGAGCGGTCCTTGGAATCTTTGGGCTTGTCGCTCCGGCGGCCGCGGGGCTGGGAGCCCACCACTGCTCCAACGTACCGAACGGAACTGTGCAGCCCCGCAACCCCCGCCCAACTCCGCGGAGCTAGCACAGGCTGCTCTTCGCCCTCAGCTACGGCGAGGCAAGGGCTGGCCGCGCTTGAACGCCTCCGTCTTGCCCTTCCCATGCCTAAGTGCGGGGAATTACGCGTTCCCGGCGTCGGACAGACGGTTGGGGGTACTGGGGCTGGGCAGTGGGAGTGGGGGTTGGGAACACCATTTTTGGCTGGACGTGTGTCCAGATTCTTCGTCTCTGTCTGGTCCTTCGGACCTCATCTTCCTCTGCATCTCCAGGTGTCGGCCCCTCTGTACCCGCCTCCCACGGGGCTCTTCCGGCGAAGGGCAGCCGCAGCCCACATCTACTCCCTGCCCTCAGTCCCTGCCCCCCTCTGCCCGCCGCAGTCACTCGCCCGGCTGGGAGCAAGCCTCCCCTCTCGCTGAGGGTGCGGGAGCGCCCAGGGTACCAAGAGCAGAGGGGCCAAAGTTCGAGCTCCATCGGCCAGCTGAAGGCCCTGAACCCCCAGGGCCGTGGCCGGGACGCGGGGAGGTCGGGACCCGGCGCTCGCCTCACCTGTTTCTCCAGCGGCTCCTTGGCCGACAGCGCCGGCTTGGGGGAGGGCGCGCGGTCGCACACGCAGCCCTCGAGCAGGTAAAGCCCCGAGGGCCGCGAGCTCGAGTCGCTCTCGAAGTAGAAGAGCAGGTTCTGCAGCAGCGCGAACCACTTGGTTTGCCATTTTGTGTTGTCCGAACTCCTCTTGCTCAGGTAGCCTTTGCGCGTGCCGTCCTTGCGCGCCAGCAGTCCCAGGGACGCGACGTGGCCATCGTTCAGCCGGATCCCCTTCTGCATGGTGCTCAGAGGCCAGCGAGACCCCACGCGCTTACATCTTCTCCGCGCAGCAGCCCCCCGTCCTTGCGCGCCGCGCGCTGCCTCTCTCTGGCGCTCGCTCGCTCGCTCCCTCTCGCTCTCCCCTCCCCCCAAATATCTACACTCCAGGATCTGGCGCCGAGCCGCGGCTTCTTGAATCCAGATGTACCATTCCCCGCTGGAACCTCTTCTCCGCTCCGCAGAGCCCTGGGAGACGCCGCCCGACCCTCCACCCGCGCCGGGCAAACTGAGGGACTGGCGACCTGCGCGCTGGCGAGGGGGCAGGCGGAGTCATGTGACGCCGATCCCTCGAAGAGCGCGTTTCAGCAGCGCGGACAGGGACACACGCACACAGCCCCGCCGAGGCGCAGAGCCGCGCGCAGGCTGCACCTTGGCGCCTCCTCCCCCGCCCCAGACACACGCGCACGCACAGACCCTGCCCGCCCTCCCCCATCTCCCCTTCTCTCCTGCGGGTGTTAAAAAGCAAATCGGATCAATTTGCGTTTAACCCAGTGGGACCCCGCAGGCCCGCCACCCGGGAGTTCGCGTCTTTGCGCCGCCGTGGCGCACTGTAGACCCGGGGTTAAGTGCCCGCGGTCATGTTCTCCCCCAGAGGCTCCCCCACCCCGGCCTCTGTTGCCAACGCGAGGTGGAAGGAGGAGGGTGGGCGGGCGAAACGGAGTGCGAGGGCGCCCAGTCCTCGCCTTGGCAGAGTCCGTGGGTCACGCTGAGCCCCAGCCTCCCTCCCGCCGCTTCCCAGCTACCCGAGGGCAGGGCGGGGTAGCTGGGGGGGCGGCCGCCGAACGCTGGCTACTTTATTCTATTTTGAGAGTTGCCAAGATCGCCGAAGCCGCCCCCGCCCCCTGCACCCTGAGGTCTGCCTGGCGAGCCGGTGCTGGGAGTTTTCTGCAATACCCCCGAAGCCTGAAGGCGGCTTCAAACGCAGGCGCGGGGACCATGGGAGCCTTCAAATAGCTGCGCTGGCGCAATGATGCCTTAATGATAGATTTTCCGCTCTTATTTTTAGCTCTCACTCGCCTACACAGCTACACGGCATTTATCCGAGAACGTCACAGCGCCCGCTTGCTGCACAGGGAGGGCGCGCGGGCAGCCGGGGAGCCGGGAGCTGCAGCGGGGAGCGCGCATCCGCGTCTGCCGCAGAGGGCAGCGGGCTCGCCCCGAACCCGGAGCCAGCCAAGCCTGGCCCGGAGCTCCGCAGCGGGGATGGGTGTCCGCGCAGCCCTCCAAGGAAGGACACCGTCGTTCCGCGCAGAAACTGCGGGCGCCCCTCCCCCGACACACACAGACACACACACACACGAACACTCACACACACCACACACCACACACACTCACACAACACACACGCACACTCACACATACCACACGCACACTCACACCGCACGCACACACCATACACACCCACACCACACACACCGCACACATTCACCACACTCACACCACACACACACCATAAACCACACAGACCCACACACCACACACACACCTCACACACCACACACACACCTCACACACCACACACACAGCACACTCACACCACACACTCACCATACACACACACATCACAGACACCACACACACACACCACACACCATGCACCACACACACCACACGCCACACACCATACACACAACACACACCCTACACACACACCACTCCCCATACCCACCCACATCTCCACCACACACACCACACACATGTCACACACATGCCATATACCAACACACTCCCCATACACTCCATACTCCCCCACACCCACCACCACACACACACCCCCCACACACATCACACACACACCACACAAACACCACACACACACATACACCACACATACCACACACACACCACACACACTACACACAACACACATACCCACACATACAGCACACACTAGACCACACACCACACATATCACACACACACACCACAACCACACACACCACATAACACACACACCACACACCCCCCCACACCACACACCTTAGTTTGGAGCCCTAGGAAAGGGCTTGGGAACCAGGCAACCCCGTGTAATCACGAAAAATCCACAGAGAAGCTCTGCTGTGGAGGAACGAAGCTGCCCCTTTCTTGAGCACAATGGGGCCAGCCTGTGCTCTTGGAGTGGGAGCATTAGGGGGAGGGACTGGCCTTGTAACAACAGTCCTCCCTCTGGGTGCCATTGCACCGGTCCCAGGGACCCCAATGACTCAGTGGTGCCGATGTTTCTTCACAAATAATGAAAATAGACTAGATGGCTAAGCCTTTTCATTCAGCCTTAATTTTCCCTACACTGTGACCATCTTTTCTTATTTGCTGTCTTTATGGCAGCAGAGTTTGCAGACTGAGGCTCTTAATCTGGCCTTTCTTCATCTAAACTCTTTTATTAGGAAGTCTGTTACAGAAGCCAAGAAAAACTTTAAGGAAGGGGCACTGTTATAAGTGCTGGAGATCAATTAAGCCATTGAATCTTCATGCAGCCCTGTGTAGTAGGTTCATCTTTTTCCCCAATGAGCTCCATTGTACAGACAGGGGAAACTGATGCATGGGATAGTTGAAGGACTTGCTCCGGGCCACTCAGCTAGAAAGTGGCAGAGGTTGGATCTGAATTGGGCAGTCTGCCCCTGAGGTCTTTGTACAGCTAAGTGGGTGGTCCCTGGACTGCAGAGAGATTGGCTTTTATCCCAAGAGGGGTAGGTTTGTCAGGAGAGGGTCTCCCAGGTAAGCTAAAGCCAAGGCTGAGCCTGCCTGGAGGCTGCTGTGGCAGAGGGATCTATGGTAGGTAGGTTCTGAACCTGGGCTGCACATCAGAATCACCTGGGAGTACTTAACAAGCATCCCCCCCCTACTCCCACCCCACCCCTTAGAGATCTTGGGTGGGCTAGCTATACTTTCTTTCTTTTTTTTGAGACAGAGTTTCAGAGTTTCGCTCTTGTTGCCCAGGCTGGAGTGCAATGGCACAATCTCAGCTCACTGCAACCTCTGCCTCCCGGGTTCAAGCCATTCTCCTGCCTCAGCCTCCCGAGTAGCTGGGATTACAGGCATGCGCCACCACGCCCGGCTAATTTTGTTTTCTTAGTAGAGACGGAGTTTCTCCATGTTGTTCAGGCTGGTCTCAAACTCCCAACCTCAGGTGATCCACTCGCTTTGGCCTCCCAAAGTGCTGGGACTACAGGCTTGAGCCACCTTTGCCTGGCCCACTTTCAAGGGTAATTGTAATGTGCAGTGAAGGTGGAGAACCGCTCATAAATGGGAGGACTAATGATATGGTCATGCACACATGAATCACCTGGGCGTCTTGAGGCTAGTAAGGACTTCTAGTGTGTGTGTGTGTGTGTGTGTGTGTGTGTGTGTGATGTGTGTTGTCTGTTGCATGCGTGGAATATGGTATGGTGTGTATGTGTGTGGGGTACGGGGTGTGTGTGTGGATGGAACGTGTAGAGAAGCTTTGCTCCTTCGGCAACATATTCCAAAAGAAAAATGTAGTTTCCATGTCATTTAAAAACAACGAAGACTCAAGCACAAGGGCTGGGAAGCAGACTTGGAAATGGAGGTTTTGCCGATGGGGGTTTACTACTCCAACTTTGGGCTCAGTTGGTCAGCTTTGCCCGGGCACCCAACTGCAGACACCAGCGATTCACACTTTTACTTTCCAGCCAATGAAAATAGCCATAGGATTCCGTTTGATTAAAATTACTGCAGACTCTTGTAAAAAATTAAGACAATATAGAAAATAAACAGATTAACTTCTCCAATGATTTTTTTCTATACAATCCTCTTTTCCTAAATAAATAAATTTACCAAAATGTGTTTCTAGAATACGTACTATTTTATGAACTCAATCACCTGCTGTCTCTTTACTTCACAGTGTGTGGGGACATTTTTATGTTACTACAAATTTAATTAATGGATTCTTTCTGATTGGGGATTTAGGCTGTTTTCAATTCATTGTTTTTGGAAATAATGCAATTAACTTATTTTTTTTTTTTTTTTTTTTTTTTTTTTTTTGAGACGGAGTCTTGCTCTGTCACCAGGCTGGAGTGCAGTGTCGCAATCTCGGCTCACTGCAACCTCTACCTCCTCTACCTCCTGGGTTCAAGCAATTCTTCCGCCTCAGCCTCCCGAGTAGCTGGGACCACAGGCGCGCGCCACCACGCCCTGCTAATTTTTGTATATTTAGTAGACACAGGGTTTCACCATGTTGGCCAGGATGGTCTCTATCTCTTGACCTCGTGATCCGCCCGCCTCGGCCTCCCAGAGTGCTGGGGTTACAGGCGTGAGCCACCGCGCCCGACCAATATCTTTTTATATACATGTCCCTCGTTTAGGCTGAATCCCTGAAAGTGGCATTTCGGGGTTAAGGCGATGTACATTGACAGTATCGGTTTGTATTACTTGATTTCCGGAGAGCCTTTGCTCCTGACAAGGCTACCAGCAGTGGATGAAATCGTCCATTTCTCCATCCACTTGTCAATCCTGGTTACTGATGTTGCCCGTCTCTTAAATATTTGCCCATTTTGAAAGGGCAAAAAAAATGATATCCCTTCTTGTATTAATTTTAATTTCTTTCAAATATGGTGAGGTTAGACATTTCAACATGTTTACACTCATTCACATTTCTTCTTTTTGAATTTTTGTTTTATATCTTTATTTTTGCAGACGTGTTTATGTTTTTCTCATAGACCGATCACAGCATTTTATATATTAGAGATATCAACCACTGACCATCATACCTGCTGGAAATAGTGCTGTCTTTTATTAGCTGTGGTAAAATATACATAGTGTTTACATGTTACTCATTTTTAGGCTTACAGTTCAGTGGAATTAAATAAATTCACAGTATTGTGTAGCCATCACCATCATCGTCTTCTGAACTTTTTATCTGGTGAAACTTAAACACTGTATCCATTAAACAACTCCCATTTCCCCTTCTCCCCAGTCCCTGGCAACCAGCCTTCCACTTTCCATCTCTATGAATGTAGCTATTCTAAGTACCATAGAAGTGGAATTGTTAGGGAAGCAGATGCCTATGTCTCTGTTACTGACCAGGTTTAACTTGCTACCTTATTTTTTCCCTCTGTTAGGGAAACAGAGGGAAGCAGTTAGGGAGCTTAGGAGAGTCAGAGTAAAGCCATTTTAAGTTCAGCTCCATCTTAGAACTAGCAAGGCACATTCCCAGTTGCAACCCATGGCCCTAAGATGTTTATAGTTGAAGAAAACCCACAAGGACACACACTTACAACAGCCGAAAGCCCAGATGTCTTAATACCCATAACAATATGTGCTTTCAAGATAATCATAGTTATGCTCTGGTGTACTCATACTGTAAAATGTCAAGGATCATTTTTGTTAATAGAATAATAAATTTTGTTATGCTGCCTGTTCACTGGCATGTAGGCA